TATTAGGGACCCTGGATTTTCGTCTGACCCATCCTTTCAACCCTGACAAGGAAATCGCTTTCAACGTTCAGGCTAATTTACCCAACTCGCCGATCGGCCTCGATACCGAATCTTCTTTCTTTCTCTCTCGTGTGGGACGCTATAATTGCACTAACGATGACCGTGGACGAGGATCCATCCATGATCGTTGGCTTTTTTCCCCTGGTCCCTTAAGTCTTTAGCTTTTACCAGTTGCTCGGTGTTCTTTGCTGTCTTCCGATTCTTTGTTCCATAGAAGGTTTTTTTTATTAATATTCAGATCTATTTCTTAAATTTTCGACTGCAGTTTTCAGAATTTCCTGGAGGGGGTTGCTCTCGTATTATCCAAGGGAGATCGCTCCCATGATTTTTAGATGGTAGATCACGCCACGTGAATCCACAAATATGCACGTCAGTATAGGTACATCCCGGAGAACAGTAATGGCCGCCGCGAGCCAGTGATTGCAAAGTCGGATGGCTGACGCGGCGCGAGGCGGCGGAGAACCGGAGGAATTTCAAAACGGAGGTGCGATAATGAGTAAATTGCCCTCGGACTTGTGTCGAGTTACGGTCGGGACGAAAAGACCCGCGAGTAAACCGGTTCCAAGGCCAGCTCGTGAAACGGATTCTATGTCGATTTCCTGTAGCCTACGAATGTTACTTGTTAACCGCTTATCTGGCTTCCTCTGGGAGATCGTACGTCAAAATTGCAGCTGAATATCCATCGTGACGGTGTTTGTTCAGTTGGCACGATGAAAAACTTAGGATTAGACATTGAGTTTGGAAATAATATTTGAGCGAATAGCATCGATAGAGCTCTTTGGAATTTAACTTCCGACGGCTACCGTGTCACCATCTCGACACTGGACAGGTAAATCTAATTTTCCATGAAATCTTTGGAAACGCTGGAAATTACATTACCACATTATTAACATAAGACGCATAGTTGCTCTATTTCTGTCTTGTTTGCATAATAAGGAAGTCTGTGACAAATGCAGCATAAGAGGACGAGAAAAAGTTACCCAAGTTTTCTGCGAGAGCTGCGTAACGCGCACCTACGCGTTAATAATCATGATTAATCAACTAATTATCAGCGAGTTCTTTTAATAGCCTGGAAAACGCTGCAACGTTTAATGACTAGTGTCACGGATATCACGCTGCCCCAGTTCTCAAACAATTCACAAGCTCGTAATTGTTATCCATTGGGCTGTACGACAAACCTACGTCTAAATTAATCCTCGTACGACAAACGACTTCTATCCTTGATCTCGTATATGAACTTCTCATCGATTAATAGAAATTATTTTAACAAATCGTCGTTTATTTCGATCATCCACCGTTCTTTTCCTCTGAGCTTCCATTTCGTGCTGAAATACGCCATAGTGGCGCAATTGGGGGACCAACGGAGTCGTGAACCGTTGGTTCGCTTCCGAATTTTGTACACAACCATTTCGTTCGATCTTCGATGAATAAAAGATCGAGCAAAGGATCCGAAATGGTTCGGTTGGACGTTTGGAAATGATGTTGGCCGCCATCGAAAATTATTCTTGCTCGAGGATGCCGGTAGCCGTGGAAGGATATCACGCTAGCTAGCCAGAAGGAGCAGCACGTTTTATTCTTGTTTATCGAATGGCCGAGGGATCGGCCTTCCTAGACCCGGCTTGGACGAGGCAATTATTCGAAAATTACTCTCGAACCTATCCGCTTTCTTGGGCTTCGTTTCAAAACGAAACTTATTCCTACACGCGAGTTCCATCATCGTTCACCACCGAGCAACTCCTTTCGATCCGATGGTTCACCATGGAATTCGATTCTTTCTTCGCTTGTTACTCTCTTTGCTGGACCCTGCCTCTTCTCACTGCATTTTATTAATAGGATGATATGGTTCATGACGTTTCATAGATGCTTCTAGATTCTTCAGATCTTTAACCCCTTTGATTACTTCTGAAGGAAGTTATTTTATTGGCTCTGTTGGAATGTCTGAAACACAAAAATACACAGGCATGCGTCAGGTAGCACGAAGGCCCAAAAAGACGCTACCAGTTCTAAAAAACTATTCAATCGCAAAGTTTCAACTTATTTCTTCCAGTTGACGGTACAATTGCGAGCCGGAAACAGAGAACGTCATAAACGGCGGAAGTGCAATGTGGACGTCGTAAAAGAATCTACAAGCTTTTCATCCAACATTTTCATGTTCTTCCAATGAATAGCAATAATCGACCGATATCAATTTTTCACTGAAGGTACTTTCGTGGCCTCCTGTCTCCATCTAAATAAAGAATTGTCGTTAGAAATACAGTGACAACAAAGTGAAATAAGTGACGTACATGAATCAAGATTAGCATAGCTGGTATCTAAAGCTCGGTTCCAGCGAAACGACGGTGACGTGCTGTTATTCGAATGCTTAAATCGTGACAATGAGGCGTGCACGTATGTCACCGTGGTATGTATATAAAAGTTAATAGTCGCTAAATAATGCAATGAAACCGGTGATACCCTGCTATTGATAACCGTCAGCCCAGTTAATAGTGCTTTGAAGAGCACTATCGATAACGTAACAACTGCGTATTCCCACGAATGCCTTCTGAAAAAAAACTAAAAAAAATGTGTTATCGTAGAGTTGAATGTCATATATTTCGTGCTGTGCAATGTCCAGTGCAATGTCCGTCACGGAAATTACGAGTAGAAAATAACGAGACACCTTTGTTGGTTGTTTATTAGCCACCATGTTGTTGAAACGCGATTACAGGTAACGGGAATGTAAAGATATATGGGTGACGAACCATATTTCTAATAGGTCTAGTCCAGATTTTTTCAACTATTCGGAGATATAAACTAGCCGGCCATTCCAAGTTGAAATTCGTACCCTAACTCAAATCGCTTCAACGACTTAAGAAGAAGCGAAACGGAGCTTCGTGTACGAATCAAAAGAAGAACGAAAGAACTGTCAAGATTGAAACGGTGAGATTAGCAAGGGAAGCCAATCTGAGTGTGAGCAGGTTCGAGCAACACCTCCAACGGTGTGTAAATCGCGGCAAAAGCGGGTGCAGTTTGCAGAATACCGGCGAATGGTGGTTCCCGTCGGATCAGGACTGGTCTACAGAGCGACAGAGAAAAAGAGAAATGGGGGATAAAGTCAGAAACATTGGGGAGGGAGAATGAAAAAAAAAATCGAGAAAACGAAGGAATGCACGCGACCAAGATGGCGGCGCATTGTGTGCGCACTCGACGGACAGGGAGCACGAAACAGGAATGGAAGCCGCAACAGAATGGGGATAATTGCGTTGGAAATGCAGCAAGGCTCCTCCCCTTATTCACAACCTAAAGGCTTGCAACTGCAAGTGCCAAGCTGCTCACTTTACGGCGTGCACACATGACACGTTCGACCACTGGCGACGCGAATAACCCCGATACAACGATCTCCAACTGCTCCGCCTTACATCGTCACGCTTCTACTTGTGAGGCTTGTTCAAAACCCTCTAATAATTATTTCCATATTTTCCATAATTAGCTACATATTTTCCCTTTTTTATGCATTTGGAGCAACGCACTTTTATCGTTAAATACATGACTCTTTCAGCACTCCGGTAAAATGCAAAATGAAGTTTCTTTAGCAGGTTTAGCCTGGATGTGCCCTTGGATAGTAGGCTCCCTTAAAACAGGGGTATGCGCTGAGTTCCAACAGTAAGTCATTATTGCGAGTCTATTGCACTATTGTAATATTTGATTGTCTATTCTTTTAATAATCATTATAGTCTGATAAAATGACCCTCTTCATCGATAACATTTCTAACGTTAATGGTTAGTAGATGGTACTCCCCGGTTTAATTAAGCGCTAACGGGCATTACCATACTCCAATGCTTTCCTCCGCTTGATCGATTAATTCTTTAGATATTATCAGTAATTTATTCTCCTTGGTCGGATAGTTTTTTACTGACTCACGAAATTTAATTAATAGTAACCGTAAGCGCGAGCTTTGTCGCTTGCATGATCTTCCTACTTGGTAAAATGTTGGAGAAACTTTTTATATACAATCACACGACATCTACGAGCTGACGTATTTATCAACCAAGTGATTTGCCCAGTCACCGAAATGTTGAACGACATTTTTACTAATAACTAAGTTATTAATTACTCTATTACTTTGCCAGATGATAAATCATTTAACCGTAATGTTGAAACTTTTAATAAAAATGGTAATTAATGTTTTGTAATCGTATCATGTGCTCAAAACTTTTTCTTTCCTCTTTCGTTTGATACAATGGAATTTAAATGTTAATTGTAATTTAATTGTAAAATTAAATCGCTCATAAAAAAAAAATAGTCTCTAATTAGACTATTGCACCATCTATACAAAAGCCGCTGAAACTACTCGACAACTTATCAACTTATCTATCTTTTGAATAGATGGTGCAGTGATCGAATTTCTGATCAGTTTACCGACCATTAGTTCTTAAAAAATATTTCTATTTTTGGCAACGGTGCATCAAGTAAAGAACAATTCTATAGAAATACTATTTCGCACTGATATAACAATTACATGGTACAAACTACAATATTTGTATTTACTTAATTCAGCTTAAGTTACGGTGCATCTGCCTGCCTAAACCTAAATTGTTACGTCAAGAAAGATACATATATTTATTTTTGGTCTTGTATTCGAAGACACTTGTGTTTAGGTGAATCGATAATTATATTTTCTGACTTGTCATTCAAATATAATAGTCTATTAAAATTTATCATGAATTTGCATGTTCAGCTTGATAACACTTTGACTTGAAGTTCAGTGCAAAAATGTTAGTGAAGTAAAGAACATCACATGGCAAAACGTTTCTAATATTAAATTTAAAAAAATGAAAACTTAAAATTTGTAATTGAACATGATTTGTATTTAATGTTACTATTGAAATGTGTACTTAAGAAAGTTGAATTAACAATATTACTTATCTTTGTTTTAGTTGTATAAACAGAACTTTTAACAATGTTTGAATGGGCATATGATGGTGTTAATGCCTCCATACCACGTAATGTAGGCCCAGAATGTGCAAACTATATAAGTCCTGAAAGAAGAATAATTGAAACATTATTTATATCTATAGTCATCATATTTTTGCTCATTTGGGGTTACAAACAAATGAGTTTACCAACCAAGGTACCTTATGTAAATCATGACCGTGTTGGCAAAAGAATATTATTGATGATTATGTCATTGGTATTAGGAATAGAGATTGGCTTTAAATTTACCAGCAGGACAATTGTATATTTATTAAATCCGTGTCATATAACAACAGCAGCACAGGTAAACTTAACTTATTTACATATTAGCAATATATATATATATATATATTCATTTCCAGCTGCTTGTTATCATTGATTTTTGTATAATATAGTTATACTTGCTGATAGCTGATCCCAGTCCAACAGTCACAGCTGTCTTCAGGATACACTTGAACTTTTTAAATGGACCACTTTTAGCATACTTGTTTCCAGAGACAGAATCACGCAGAGTAACTCATCATTTTATTAATAAGCAGGTAGTTAAATATTTCAGATTGACAGTAATACATTTCTTACAGATATTTGCAGACAAAGCAATGTACTGGATTCAACATGGCTTAATGGTAGTAATACCATATTACTTACTGAGGCTTGGAGGTTGGTACAATTCTCTTCTTTTTTTTTTAAGTAAGTAGGGATAGAAACATTAATATGGTGAATGTATTTTCATTTGTACTTTTAGGTGTTTATAATGTAGAACCCTTATCAGATATGAGTTGGACTATTTTTAGTTACGGGCTAAATCTTGCATATCATTTTTGGATTCTTCAATCTATTGCTTTGGTATAAATTTTCTCATCCCTCGATTTAAATTTTGTATTTATTTATTTAAAATTAATGTATCAACATTTTATGTTTTAGCCTATTCAAGTCAATCTTAGCCACATATTGTGTGCGGCTGTTCTAGACCCCTTCGCGGGAAACTATTATCGCGTGTGGACGATGATTCATCAAGGAATATTATGCCCTTTATTATGCAAATTATTTTGCTATTCATCAGACTATTTTTTAACCAAGTGTCCTCTAACTAGAGTAAAAGCGACGTTGGAGTGTACACTTCCGGAAAAGAAGTACAAATTGGAGAACGATCAAAAGTTATATGAAGATACGAATAACTCGGGAAATGGACATACACATTTAAATTAGGCTAATACTTTGTAATTGATGCCACCGTAGTCTCTATGGATACATTGCCGAAAGTAAGTGAATATTCCATGATTAAGGGAACCCGACAACTTTGTCAATAATTAAACGAACACAAATTATTTTGTGTTTGTACGTGCATTCGTAACTATATAGTCAGTGCCTGTAATCAAAATTACAGGTTCCCTTTTTTAAACACGTTTCTAGGTATTTTTTACACTGCATCTTTCAATGCAGTGAATAGAAACATCTTATGAATTTCAATTGCTACTATTCCGATGTAGCATGTTTCTCCAATTAGAATTTTTAGATTATGGGACTCTAAAAATCTCGCATTCCTAATGCGTCTAGGCAGATCATTTTCTTAAATACATACCAGCACCATAGAACATTTAATTTTTTTATACTTTTATTGTTCATGGAAAATTATAATTTTACTATGCTTGCAAAAATACATACCTCATTGAAAAGTTTTTAATACTTATGTATGTATCTATTTAAATGCTTTCCGTGCCTAGATGTAAAATTACTATGAAGCTTATCTTATGCTATGAATAATGGCAATTTTAGCCATGAAAATAGTTTAAAGTACCTGTTGTAACTGAAAAAAAATCAGTTATCGAGTCAAATACTGAATTTCCTAATTTAACATATTATAATTTATTTCCATATTGTTAAGTACTTTGGTAAAGTGTGACTTTATTTCACAAGTTTCTCAGCCATAAAGAAGCAGCTTGATTGTGATATATAAATGTATATTACATTACGTGATACAGTTTAAAGTACGAATGCACTGATAAAAAAACGATCGTTAGTTTATTAATACTAACGAAATGTAGGATTGTGTTAACAGTGTGCACATAGTCAAATTATTACTTTAATTATACAGTACATTCCATATACTCAATCTACGCGAAATTACTTCAATAAGTTTACATTGACTGCCACAAATTTTATTCTATGACATATTTTATTATGTAAAAATGTTATTAAATTTACAATTCAAAGCGCCAAAGAAAAAAAAATGCAACATGGAATGTTTGCAGTCCAAAGATCGTAATTGTACATAATTTTATTATAAGTTTATGAATAAATTCGAATTTATATTTATTATTTTAAAAATTCTCAACCGAAATTTGTATATTTTTATACAATCTCCAAATAAAAATCAATGTATTCTTATTTTACGTTGAAATGTAAATTTCGGTCTGCATTTACCTATTCTGATAACTCAATGGTTATTTGATTATTTAGATGGCCTAACATTTAAAAAAAAGATACTAATGAGATACTTACTAATTCACAAAAAATTACAATATTAATAGTTTGGGTAGAGAATGTATGACTTCAGTGTTTCCACAGCGTTAAGGATTAATCTTTAATTGTGCGCACTTTTTACACAATTGATATTTGTGTCCTTTTGCATGGAAAATAAAATGAATATAAATAGATTTTTACACCATTGAATGCTTTTTTAAAGCATACTGCATTCACATCAATTGTATGATAATAAAAAATCAGTGTACATAAATAAAAAAACTGAACATTTTACTGTAATATAAAATTTCCAAGCGAAAGGTCTCAATAACAATTACATTATATTAAAAAATAGTCATTGTCCGCATCTGGTATGCGATTATAAAGGCCTCGATGAGGTTTAATTTAGAATCTTGATATAGTACGATGAAAATACCTTTTATATTGTACATTACATAATAGTCATGTACACGAGTCTGTGCAATGATAATTATACGATTTGCGAAAATATTTACGACACATTAAAACATGAAGGAACTGTATGTATAACAAATGTATTGTGTAATACACGTGCTTCGGGTCACTGTTACATAGTAGAGATAGTAAGAAAATTAAAAAAACAAATTATGTTTTATGTACAGAAAGGACCGTGTATGTATGTATGTGCATCGCCTATGTTACTTCTAATTTATAGCCCTATTATCTTACAAGGTATACATGAATAAGCACGAATAGCATGTGTTGTGTATTATGTACATAGAAGATTCGCTAGTGCAATGAGTCTAACTTAGTTGAAACTTTAATTTAGAATTAAATTAAGAATCTTTCTGACATTATAGGTCATGTAGTATGAATTAATTTTATAAATATCAATAAATTAATTATAAATTAGACCATTACGATATTGAATTTTCAATGTATATAAATTGCATAGTCGAAAAGGTGATGGACTATTCGTTGAACTAAGTGTGCAATAAATTATTGTTGTTATATTTTTGTAAGTTACGGAGAACGTTGTTTCCGTAATGATAATATAAATTTGGTACTAAACACGGAACTGGCTTCTGGAAAGTAAGAATCAAAGAAACATTACTTTTGATCTTCATTGGTATAACGATAAGTAGGATAAGGTGCGAAGCAGAATGGATTTATCTAAAATAAAAATTATTCCGTTAGAACGGAAGTATTAAGAATTACCGTCAGACACGTTTGATGGTATGCAACAATACAAACATTAAAGCATTAAAATAAAATAATTTATTTACAGAGCGATGTACATTTCTTTTTTTTTAAAACTTTCGTACTCCTGATACATCTGCAAGTATACCGGTGTTCCAAGCTGAATCGTATCACGATTAAATTTACTTTTTTCTCTTAAACATTTGTACAGAATGGTTTCCCAGGAGATTACATGATAATTATGCGTATTTACAAAACGACATGTACTTGTAGTTCGAATTGTTTAACATGTACATCTACATTTAATGGATTGATCGTATTGCTTAAATTACTATCGTGTATCGTAGCCACATAGAGATTACACCGAAAGAATCGTTATAAGGCACCACTATACTCCACGTGTAATCTTGGTAATTTATATTCCACACATAACTTATATAACGTTTTTTTCTCTTCAATGTGAATAGTTTTATCATCATTCGAGAAAGGTATAAATTCTAAATCAGTCCATGACTCGTAATTATCTACTTATGCTGATGAAACCATTGGAAACAAGGGCGATTCTCTCCTTGTACATTCATGATCATTATGTACACGATTCTGTACAAAAGTTTAGGAATACTGATTTATCGCAGGCTATACATAACGTAGCCTGACGAATAAGTTACAGCGTCAATTGTTACACTGATAATATTACTATCTATAAATATATCTCATAGAGCACGATGTACAATTTTCACGTGTAATCAATACAACATTTCCTTACTCTAAATGCGATAAGCGAATCAGAAAAATGATCTGCGTTAAATATGACGTATTGTGCATTCATCACAATAGTGGTGAAATACTTAATTCTTTGATTAAACAAACTTTCATACACAAAGCTATATCACACATATTACCGCACAACGGAAAAACGATACTCATTCTTGATATTGTGTAGATGAATTTCACAGGTACTTGGACTGTACTAAACTACTTCTTCTCCTTTTAATATGCTTTGAAAATAATATAAGTCGAATTAGTTTCATCTATTAAAAGAAAAAAGGGAAATAATAAAGATCGTATAAATTGATTAGACTTCTTCCCACACAATATTTTACAGATTGCTTTGTACATTTAAAAAATAAAGCAGCTATGAACACTTTAAGTGGAACACCCTGTATACTATTTTATAAATTATTCTCGATTTATTCGAAGATTCCGCTACTTGAGCTCTATTGGCATTAAAAAGAAAATATATATATACATGTATCAGTTCTTAACATTGGAAAATATATGTATATCGATTTAAAATTTATATAAGCATCTGGAATAAATTAAAACACTAAGCGTAATTAACTCTTGTAAAAGAAAAAAAGAGGTGTTTCATATCTCTTTTCCCCGCAAAATATCTGTTACTTCTCGACAGCCACGGTAAAATATAAATAAGTAAAACATCTACACAGATACCATAGACAAAAATAAGTACACTAACAAAATACAAATGAATCACAGTTCTTTCTAAGTTACCACAAAATTAGTACAATAGTTAATAGCCGTCAAAATAAACTATATACTATTATAAGAATTGCCATTTCTTTGGCATGTGATAGTTGATTTATACGTATAAAGCATGTATTTATACAAGGACTTAAATACCAATACTGTATGGAAGAGTAAAAGAATCATAAAATCCTTTTTTTTTATGTACATTTGTATCAACTTAAACTACAGGTTTATGATTTGGAAAGGCTTTAAAATAACAATAATTCGACTCGGATTTTTTTAGCTATCATACACAATCATTTTGCACAGGAATTTTTCTGTTAAAAATCGTATAATTCAACTCTTTGTAGATTGATCCTAAATTCGGTAATATACCACTCAACCTTTCGTATAAAGATACTTTCCATCATGAAATTCAAATGAAAAGTTGCATTACAGTAAAAGCTGAATATATGCAACAAACATTGGGACCCATGCGTTGCATATATCCAGCCAAGGTATCGATTCTGGGCATCTAAACGTTGCATATACCCAGTCGAGGTGTCGATTATGCGTCCGTACACATCGTTTGTATTCAGCCGCGATACCTATTCTACGTTCGTACACAACATGCAACGTGTTTGGTGCATCTTTGGTGTACGGCCTGCCTTATGTTTGGTATCATTTTAATCAGAAAAATCTCACAAATGTGTTAGTAAAAGTTTTATCGTTCAATTAGTATTAGTCACACCGATATTACGGTCGGATCATATTACACGGTTTCCTCGTCGAGCGGCTCAGTTCGCCTAGGGGGATCCCCCCAAGCGTAGGGGATAGCGATGTTGCATATATCCAGTCAAACTTTTGTTGCATATATCCAGCTTTTACTGTATTCAATGTATGGACCTTCTCAACATTAACTATTAGCAAATGTATGATTGTAAGTAAAATTTATAAACGTTAATTGTTGAGTAACTCATTACTATTATAAAGCTCTGTGATAGATTTATGAGTTGAAATCAGATGCTAATACTATTTACAATGTTATTGACTGAATGAACAGGCACACATCCTTCATTAAGAGTATCATACAGCAGTTCATTAGTGTGCTAATTCTACTTTATAGTAGACATTTTAGTATGATGCACTATTCTCTAGACAGAGATTTCATCATACAGCCTTGAATAAGCCTCTGAGGATATGTTTCTACATGAAGTATAGTGTTAGCCATCTAAAGGTGGTCCTAAATATACCATAGATACCTCTGTATTTCCATATACAGCAGACACAGAAGGGTATAATCTTTTGTCTGGCAACCCTACATATTTAATTTCTTATTAATATCACTATTATTGCTAGAACTTTAGAAGGAAATATTTCAATAAACATTTATGCTATTAGCTAATAAATATTGAAATACAATACCTCTAAATGCCACTCCCAAAAATTCATAATTTTTCTCAAAAGATAATGTATTATCATCACAATCTAATATTACCCTAATTCTTTCCCCAACCTGTTAATTACAAATGTATACCTTATAGTATATTTGACAACCATACCATCTCTTGCAATTAAAAAAATGTAACATACCTGGTATTTTGGAGCATTATTAAGCAAAGGATAATTTCCTTGTACATTTCCATTGTGTAACAAATGATTATCTACTAGATTCCAACCCCATGAATGTTCATCAGAACCCATTAATGCTACATAGCCATGACATAATAAAGGTGCTTCTCTTGTAGCTATGCCTATAACAGCTACTGTACCCAAAGGTCCTTCCCAAATAACTTCCCAGGCATGACGACCATGCCGGAAACCAATTTTACCTCTACAGGCATCTGTACTTTGAGCAACTGGGTTTCTGTAATACATGTATACAACCATTGTATATCAGAAGTTTAAAAGATATTTAGAAAACACAACAGATTTAAAATGCGTGCCATTTACAATCAGAAGCTGAGTGTAAAGCTTCCAAAATAAACACATATTAATGACTGAATTGAAGTCTACCTGTGGAGGGTGAATCCATTGTCTTTAATGTAAATGTTACGAGAACAGTCATTAGGATTCCATGCGTGATAAAATGCACGAAGTTTCGATTTGTAAGTAGGCACTGATGACAACAAGTCGGAACTAAGCGCTTCTTGGGCTAATTTTCTGAGACAGTGCATTCTCCACGCGTCATTGTTCTCATCATTTAAAAATTGATTCCATCGTTTGCACACTAAGGAACAATTTCTCAACGTGTGCAAATCTAAATAAGAAAAAATCACTTCTAAAACATGATCAGATGCTGGAAGTGCTATATCGTCCATTTTGCCGGTTCTGATCGAGTAAACGAACAAAACATGCACGCGCAGAACGCCTGAACATGCCTTTGTTTTCGAGGGGGTGATAATTTGGGGGTCCCAGACACCCCAAGGTGAGATTCTAGCGCCATCTATACAAAACGTCCCAAACTATTCGATAACTCCCTCTGGCAGTCGATAAGTTGCTGGCTTATCGATCGATCACCCTGCAGTCGGTAAATTATCGAGTAGTTTCTGCCGTTACTGCATAGATGGCGAAGGAGTCGAATTTTTATAGACTTACCGACAGTTAGGGATTAAAGATATATAATTTTCTAACTTGTACGCATTAAAACTGCTGCCAGAATGAATAAAAGATTATTAACATTTCAATTATTCAGGTAATACATAAGTGCAATATTGTTGTACTTTAATTTTCGTCATTGCGTACGTAACACATATCCGTATAAGAAAGTCCCCGCCAGTGTCCACTCTCGGTGTCGACATAGTGTCACCGGTACTTCGGGGTCCCCGATACCCCGGATGCCATAATGTTGGTATGCAGAATGTTATCCGTGTTTCGGGGTCCTTGACACCCCATGATGATATCAAGCCCCCTGTGGCTCGGGGGGAGTAGAATACGGCCACGGTATCCCCTGCCTGTCGTAAGAGGCGACTAAAAGGGGACACACACGCACACTCATACGCGGTACTTAGGGGTCCCAGACACCCCGATAGCCATAATATCAGTATGCAAATAGTATTACTGGTGCTTCGGGGTCCCAGACACCCCAGGATTGAATCACGTCGTACCCATCACTATCCCGAACAAGTGCGTTTCACGATTTCTTCGTTTTTAGGTCTTATATTTCGCTAGATCCGGTCGTACCCATCACTACCCCGAACAAGTGAGTTTCACGATTTGTTCGTTTTTAGGTCTTATATTTCGCTAGATCCGGTGGTACCCATCACTATTCCCAACAAGTGAGTTTCACGATTTGTTCGTTTTTAGGTCTTATATTTCGCTAGATCCGGTCGTACCCATCACTATTCCGAACAAGTGCGTTTCACGATTTGTTCGTTTTTAGGTCTTATATTTCGCTAGATCCGGTCGTACCCATCACTATTCCGAACAAGTGAGTTTCACGATTTGTTCGTTTTTAGGTCTTATATTTCGCTAGATCCGGTCGTACCCATCACTATTCCGAACAAGTGAGTTTCACGATTTGTTCGTTTTTAGGTCTTATATTTCGCTAGATCCGGTCGTACCCATCACTATTCCGAACAAGTGAGTTTCACGATTTGTTCGTTTTTAGGTCTTATATTTCGCTATTTGCTTGGGGTCCCTGACACCCCGGAGACATAATATCGGTATGCAGTATCATCGGTACATTGGGGCCTTAGATACCCCGAGTGCCGTAGTGTCTGTAAGTAAAGAGGGTCGACTGTGCCTCGGGGTCCTTGACACCCCGGATGCCATAATATTGGTATATAGAATGTTATCTGTGTTTCGGGGTCCTTAGAACCCCAAGACGATATAACTTCGGTATGCAGCTTATTCGTGTTTCGGGGTTCTTAGAACCCCAAAGCGATATCAGGTCGGTATGCAGAGAGCGTCACCAATGCTTTGGGATCCTTAGAACCCCAAGACGATATAATTTCGGCATGCAGAATCGGTGGTACTTCGGGGTCCTTAGAACCCCAAGACGATACTAGGTCGATATACAGAGAACGTCACCGATGCTTCGGGGTCCTTAGAACCCCAATGCGATACCAGGACGATATACAGAGAACATCGTCGATGCTTCGGGGTCCTTAGAACCCCAAAACGATACCAGGTCGATATACAGAGAACGTTACCGGTGCTTCGGGGTCCTTAGAACCCCAATATGATACCAGGTCCGTATTAAGAGGGCACAACCAGTATAATAATCGTCCCCTAATTTCTTTCCGGAAGATATAACAGATGGCGATTGTTTTCAAGGGACAATTCTAAACCCCTTGAAAATAAAGACACGTCTAGTCTTGTTAAATCTGTAGTCACTGGTCACTGTGAACTAGGTTCAGTACAGTTCAGTATAGATCGTGAATTTTGAGTGATGAGTTGGTTTTCACTTAGTTTAATTATTTACCTTTAATTTCTAAAGATTATAGTTCCCAGTACCAAGTAGTGTTATATTTGCAGTATTTTGTTTTGAAAGGCACAAATCGTTTGAAAATTGTATACGTAGGCAACAGGTGTCTAATATCGCACATGTTTCGTTTTGATAGTGGTGGCAATTTTTCCTTCAAAAATTAAACAAACAAATTAATGCGCTAACTTCTTATCAAGAGTATTTTGCATCATGCGTAAAACGATCAATACAATTTTATGGAAAAGTGTCTTTAACAAAGTATAACATTCGAAGTACAATAATCGTGCTTTATCAATCAATTCCCCAAAATGGAATACGATTATCTTATTAAATTTTTGGCCCTTGGAAACTCTGGAGTGGGTAAAACGAGTTTTTTGTATCAGTATACTGATGGTACATTCGATTCCCGTTTTATATCCACTGTTGGCATTGATTTTAAGGAAAAACGGGTGGTAAGTGAATTATTTTATCATGTAGTATGTTGCTAATTGTTATTATTATTATTGTAGGAAAATTGTTATTCATTTCTGTAGTAGTATTATTAATTTGAAACATTTTGAAGGTCTATGTCTGAATGATACGTATAAATTATTGGTATATACATGTAAATGTCTTTAGACACACATGTGTTACTACTTACAAGCAAGAGTCATTACCTATTACAGATATACCAGACAGCAAATGGTAGAACTCAACGTGTGCATTTACAGCTGTGGGACACAGCTGGCCAAGAGCGGTAACATTTGTTACATTTAAGTTTAAAATCTACTTTAGGGCACTAATATTCTTTAAAAACAGTTCATAATATATATAAAATGTCTTAATTTTACTTCACATCTTTAGTTATTAAGAATAGTTCCTATAAGATTTAATTATACTAACAGTCCTAAAGGATTAAATTATTATGCAAGTGTTTAATGCTCTTAAAATTCAGGTTCAGAAGTTTAACTACAGCCTTTTACCGGGATTCCATGGGTTTTCTTCTAATTTTTGATCTAACCAATGAGTTGTCTTTTCTTGAAGTTAGAAATTGGCTGGAACAACTTAGGGTACTCATCATTTATTAACATTGTTATTATAAAACTTATGCAAGATTAAAGAGTAGTCTTATTGAACAATGATTTGAGCTAACATACAGATATAATTTTATGGATGTTGCATGCTGAGGATTGTACTGTGGAAATCTCAGATATGGGAATGTAAAACCAAACAAGTTATGCATGAAAATATTTTTTACTTTGCATGCAGTTGAAGAATTAAGTAACTTTAAATAAATTGATTTTATTCATATATCTATCATGAGCTCAAACTGTCGTTCGATCGAATAATCGTAAATAGTGAGCGTAACAATTTACAGCGTTAATAAAAATAAATTTATTCTGTAATGCGATTGTTAACATAATTTTCGTTCAATTTATAAATCGAAGAATTTCCAATGAAAACAGAATAACCCGAAAAATGTATCCATGCATTGGAAGTTATTGTTTGCCTGTTTAAAATTATTTCATCGTAAAATATCAAAGGCGTAGTTGGCCTGTTTTCGTTGCGAACTTTTCGTGTTCTTGCATTATATTGCAGCATGTTCTATTTGAATAAACATTTTCATTCCATCTCGATTCCCTTGTTTGATCGTTGATTCGTGTTTGTGTACCTGTAGACTCACGCATATTGCGAAGATCCAGACATAATTCTCTGTGGAAACAAATCCGATCTCGAAGACAAACGGGTTGTTAGTGAACATAAGGCCCGGGAATTAGCAGAGAAGCATGGGTAAATAATATAGAACACATAATTGATTATGTTCGCATTGACCCCGTTATTTTCTAAGAGATTGTCAACCTTTTGCCTTTTGCCATGAATGTACGACAGCTTTAAACGATGAAAAAATTGAATTCAGAAGAATTCAAGTATTTAATAAACTATGTTTCTCAGCTTGGTGTACTTGGAAACAAGCGCAGCAACCGGCCAGAACGTGGCACGTGCCGTGGAGATACTTTTAGATCGTGTAATGCGAAGGATGGAAAGCACCGTGGACAAGTCATTATTGCCTCACCAAAGAGTTTTACGGTGCCACGAGCGCGATACATCGCCTCCGAGCACTTCCTGTTACTGCTGACACCGTCCGTTCGTGTAGCTGAATAAATTGTCTCCATCTACCATCTTACGGTTCAGGTGACATCGTGCAGCTCACATTTTATTCAGCTAGCAACATTTTATCGAGTTGCATTCGAATCTCTCGTTGTTCAACGTTCGACACGTGCTGTTTAACGCGTACGCGCAGCAGAATATTGATCGTCCCGAATAAAGGAATGAAAATTGCAATGGACCAGTTTTTCCTACCAATTATCCTTCGGTGGCTTGCGCACTTACGATTAGTCTGGCGAAGGGATGATCGACGTTCCGCTGTACATACGTCTATGAAACCGTTGATCAACTGTCTCGTAAATTGCACATTTCTGCATTGTCGTACTCTCTGAAAACGATCCCCGTTAATTCTACACATTCATACGTACATACTGTCGTCTTTCATGATGGGTTCCCTTGGTACGGAATTGATTTGACCGCAAACCGTAAACTTGTACCTTTGACGTATACGTTCGTCTTTTACTGTTCCGCGATTATGCGATTTACCTGTCACCATCGTACGCACAACGTGTTCAATAGGATATTCAGGGTGTCTTTTAATGTCTTAGGGGTGGGTTTTAATTAGTTGGGTTTGAAACAGTATATCAATACACTGTTAGTCTCTGTTCATTCGCCAAAAATTGTGATACGCGAGCTACGATTACACAAGGAAACGAGAGAGTGATTTTCGATTATAAATATATACGTGTATTTTTGATGCTGTTATTATGTTTAACCAAAGTTACTTATCATCTAGTCGTTAAGTATTGTGCTGAGAATACAATCAAAATATTATCTGGTGCACGATGTTTCTACTGTTGTTAACCAAATAATAATGAAATTTATGTATGTCACAAGAATACCATTATTCCTTCTAACTTCCATGAAGGAATATTGGAAAATATCTATACGAGAAACTTTGATGCCGAGAGGCACGAATTCCCGCGTGATTTACATATAAGTTTGAAACGTTTCATGGTTTCCTTTTAACTTCCAAGTGGAACTAAAAACGCGAGAATTTGAAATCCTTATGCTGCTCAGCATCTCAGTTTTTCATTTACGTAGACATTTTATGTATGTCGCGAGAACTGTATGTTGTTCCTTTTCAATTTATACATTTGCGAGTTACAATTGATCGAGAGACGTTCATATTTATATTATACCTATAGATGTCTGTTGGCCACGTAAAGTTTGGGGATAATAACTTTCCTAGTTATTTGATAGTTCAAGAGAAGGATATAAGATTAAAGTTTCAACTACAACCGAATAGCAACCACGATAGAAGTTTCCCCGATAGAAAATGAATCTCAAAATGTTTCGTGTTACTTTCAATGCATAACTTTTCCGTTAGATCGCGAATTTGAAACGATAGAGATACTTGGAGTTATTGCCCCATTCTGTGCATCGTGTCATGCATCGAGGTGATAAAAGAAGATTGCACCGATCTTATCCGTTTCTCAGTGAAATATTCTCGTGCGCATTGTCAGTTTACTACGATCTCGAGAACTACGTGAAATAATGACGAGTCCAATTATAAATCAGGGTAGTAGATCTTCGAAAAGGTTGATTACGATTTTATACGAATTTCGATGTGTTCAATTTTGGCTAGATCATAGTAAACTAATAAGATGTGCGAGCGTGTCTTTCAAGATTTTTCATAGAAGAATTAAAACAATTAAACTGAGGGATGCAAGCAGAGCTCTCTACCGTGCATACGTACTTGTCTGTTTTATAAATTGTAATGTGCCTCGGCAGTAAGTTTTATTTGAAAAACAACATCTTTAACAAATAAATGTTCTATGATTCTGCTTTAATTTATTACCATTTTTTTGCCTTCTTAACTAGACTGTACAACTGGAAGTGTAAGAAATAATCCCACCCCGTTCAAGAAGACAGCACCTGCAGGTGTTTCTTCGGCAGTTTGTGTATCCCATTGGGCCCGAGATCAAATGTAAACCGATCGAGCTGTTGGGAAATAGGGAGCCTGAAGAATAACTCCCATAGCATCAGCCGGTGAAACTTTGTTTCATCAATAACTAGGCGAAGGGTAAAACATACAGAAGCTAGGGAGCTGCTCGAAAGTTTCGCAGCGAAACTTCCTTTATGGAAGTTCGATCGAAGTTTCCTGACCAGCCGGCCAGGTTATTAGCCGGCTATTTATATGAGCCGGTGTTGCTGTTTACGGGTACACGAGCTTTTTAAGTTCGCGAATCTCGTTTTTACGATCAAACTTTAGAGAATTTTTAAACAGATCCACGCTTTTACGAGCATCACGCGCTATTGTACGATCGAGAACGACCCCTTTCGAGTTCATCCTTGAAGAGTCGTTGAAAAGTACGATGCACGGGCTGTACATTGAATGTCTATGCTACTGCTTCAGGTAAAGGGTCTGAGATAAAATATAGCTTTATGTTAACGAAAAATTGTCAAGCCGATCCAGAGAATCAGAGGGAAGGAAGGAAGGAAGGAAGGAAAACTATCTAATCGATAGACTAGCTATGGTCCAGTGAATAGGATCCTTTTGATAGTCCTCACTTTGTCTGCTAGCTTTCAAATGAACTTGAAGGTCTACGTAATAATTAGTCTGCACAGAGGCAGAGCTAAACTGCTGGTCTCAAAGCGGTCGTTACCGATATCACTGGCATATTGACGACAGGACAAACCAATACGAAAGCCTTCGATCGTTCGATCGCGATTCAGCTTTCGTCGTCTTTTGAAACATAATAATTCGACATAATTTTCGACAAAAATCCTACATTTTTGCAACAGAATGGTAAGCAAAATCTAATTTTATCTACATATATAGAACCTAGAAACGATGTAACCTTTCTAAAGGACTAGTTGAACGAAGTTTGTCTAAATAGAGTCAGAAGAGAGGCAACATTTCAGAAATCGTTTTCCCAAATTGGTGAACGGTGACATTCACGTTATCGCATTCCAGTTTTAGCATGACTGCTCCACAAGTGGAGCAAACTTTAGTCGAGAACCGTCAGTTGCAAATAAACCAGGAAACCGATAGCTGTTATCAAAACCAAGACCTGCCAAGAAACCAGAAATCGCGGTCAAGTTCCAGTTTATGTACGAACGTGGTTTCACGTTGAAAGGATTTCGATTTCAGCTCACAGAGAAGCAAAACTGGACTTTAACAAGCTAAAAAACTCAGTATTACGTTATCTGAAACTTAGTTACTCGATAACGTACCTAACGCTTTCTACGTTTAAACAGTTTTCGCTTCAATTTACAAAGAAATAAAGTATTGATTCAAACATTATCAACCATTATTTGATTATTCGATAATGTAATGTTTCCTTGTCCTTGTAATAGTTCCATTTCATTTTATAAAAGAACAAACTGTTCTTTTAATGATCAAACAGTACTGTACAGTACCAATTTAGACGTATTCGCATCGATCTGATGAAACAAAGTGCATCTTCCGGTTACTCGGAGCAAAGACACAGGATCCGGTTTTGTGTGACAGATTTGGATGCAGGCTACATAGAAATCCCGTATCTTTGCTCTACTTGTCAGAGGGGTCGAGGAAGAAGGAACAATTCCAGTTAGATATTGGGCAGGCAGATAAAACGAAATTACCTAGCGACCTCAAGCTTCACCGGACACTGGAATCGCTCCGTTTTCTGGGTCACTGCTGTTGTCCGTTGATTTATAACTTCCGGTTGATACTTTACCATGAAAGAAAAAGGAATACGAAACGAAGAGATCACAAATTCGTTCTTCATCTATGAAACTTGATGTATTAATTGTTTGTTCAATGTTAAATTGTTTGATTTTTGTTAAAAATTCAAAGTAAAGATTATTTGCGTTAATTTTAAAACGTTCGTGGAATGATGACCACTTGATTAGCGACAGTGTTGGTCGCCGTGGGGTTTTAGTCAGTAGGAATCTGACACTCCCCCGCTGCCCTGCCCCAGGGGTCGGTGGGGGGTCTTATGCAAGATTTCCCCACGTTAAAAAAAAAAAAAAAAAAAATCCTTTCCATCTCTGCATTCCTTACATCACTGCATCCTTTTACATTCTTGCATCCCTTACATCCCTTACATCCCTGCTTCCCTTACATCCCTCCATTCCTTATATCCCTTCATTCCTATATCCCTTCATCCCTTACATTCCAGCATTCCTTACATCCCTACATTCCTCACATCCCTGCATCCCTTACATTCCAGCATTCCTTGCATTCCTTACATCCGTGCATCCCTCACATCCTTGCATCCCTTACATCCCTGCATCCCTTACATCCCTGCATCCTTTACATCCTTACATCCTTTTTGTAAGCATTCCATCATAGCGCCTCCTGGCGGTAGGAAAAGGAACTAAATCATGCAAAAATTTTGGCCCTCTAGCGGCAAAAATGTGAACTAAAATCTCGACGTCGAATCAGCGCCATCTGGTTTCAAAAAAAGGAACTAAAGCTTGCTGGAATTTTGGCCCTCTAGCGGCAAAAATGTGAACTAAAATCTCGACGTCGAATCAGCGCCATCTGGTTTCAGAAAAAGGAACTAAAGCTTGCAGGAATTTTGGCCCTCTAGCGGCAAAAATGCGAACTAAATTCTCGACGTCGAATCAGCGCCCTCTGGTGGCCAAAAAAGGAACTAAATTTTTCCAAAATTTAAATTTAAAATTATTTTTCACGAGACTTTACTTACCTTTACTTACCTTTACTTACCTTTAATTACCTTTACTTACCTTTACTCGAACCAGTGGCCATAAGTATTTCAATTATAATATATTATATTTATAATATATTTTTGTTATAAGGGTTGAAAGGATACAAGAGATGCAGGGAGAATTCAGGAGTGTATGGGATACAGAGATGTAAGGGATGCAAAAATGTAAGGGATGCCGAGGTATAAGAAATGCTGGCATATACGAGATGCAGGAATATAGGGAATGTAGTGATATAATGGATACAGGGATGTTAAGGATGCAGACATGTAAGGGATGCAGTGATAAAGGGTTGGGCCTCGTGAGGCCCTTAAAGACAAAAAAAATAATAAATAACTGGGAAGGTTGAGCCGGGGCCCATGAAGAGGGATAAAATAATAAATGACTTAGGAGGGTGGTCCACGCGAGGCCCGAAAATAGGGTCGCGATCAAGGGTGTCGTCGCGCATCGGTCGATAGCCGAGCCCTCGTGAAACTTTGCCGTCCTTTGCCATCGGATTTGTTGGAAGAAAGAGATGGTCAACCGCATCCGGAAGTAGCCTCGAGTCTCGGTCGTTTACGATTCCCCGGGTTACCCTAAAACAAAGCGAAAGTGGAATAAGAAGTAGCCGGTTGGTGGGTCCAAGTTTCCTCCAGTTCCAACGCGGATCGTGAGACTTTTTCTAGATCGTTTTCTCGCAACGAACCGACCGATAAGGATAACGATCCCGCCGGAAACGTGACGTTAATTGGGAAGAAGGCTGCTGCACACCCCTATAGATCCTCTTTCGATTTTCTCTGAATCTGGTTGGATGCGAGTTGCTTTAACGAAAACGGGGAATCTTTAATTGCTTTCCATCAGACAAGAACAATCCCTTCCTTTTCCCTTTTCTGGTTACGTCGCTAGCTGCTTTGGTCGGTTTCGATTCGAACTGATTGCAATCGTTGGATAACTCTATTCGATTTCGGAACTCTTTTTCAGGGGACGGTCGAAAAGGTTGCTCAGAATTGGAAGGTACGTTTATGGTCTTGTGGATTTCGGGATTGCGAGGTGTTGGGTAGAGATAAGAAGAAAAGAACGACAGATAGAGAGGAGAACAGTTTGGTCCTTCAACTGCTCGTGGAACAGCTCTAATATACTTGGAGGAATCGAAGATCAAGGAAAAGTAGCAATTTCAACTCTGCTTTTCAAGATAACAGAGTAAGTGACGCAAAAATGTTATCTCTTGTTAAAATTGTACATACAGGGTGGTTCGAAGCCGCTGTCAAAAGATTCACAATAAAATTCCATGATTCTATGGAGCTTTGTATTCACTTACAATCGCGGCAAATAAATCATACGAAATATTTATTCAAATCTCGAATTAACACACGTAAATGTTGTAATTACAAAGCGAGGTTCGGTTGGGAATATTCGGTAAAACTGTTTTCCATAAAAATTGCTTCTACCTACATTTCGACTAACAGAAAATAACAAATCCTTCGTTCGTTTAGATTAAATTTACATTAATCGAGTGAGCTCGACTATATTTTCCAAATTTTCCGATCGAAAAGCAATTGGATCGTTTAACGATATTTAAATCTCCCTGTTCGAGAGGATACAGGAAGTTTCGTCATGTTGATCCGTAGTAAAGAGACGAACACGAAGAGCAGGGTGGAAAAAAAGAGCATCGAACCTTTTGTCCATACGAATGAAAAATGATCCGCGTGTGCGTATAAAAATTCCGCCATTTGCATATCACTGCCGATAGGATATCGTTTACCATCGATGGGAAAGCATATTTTTTCCATGAAGAAGGATTTATAAATCTGTGAAATTTTTCAAAATTAGCTGTAGCAAAGAAGTATGTCTTGTTAAAAGGAATTTTGAAAATGAATCTAAATTCGTAAATGGAGAACATTTGTACGTTCCTAGACGATCTCGAGATAAAGCATACCCTTCGTTAAATCGTTCGACAATATACACACGTATATAGGTTTTATCAGATCTGGATCGAGTTAACACAACACTCCCTTCTTCTTGGCTCATTTTGCACTAGAGAAATGCCAGGAAAGAAAGCGGAGAAAATTAGGTTCGGCTCGTAAAGGGGTGGCGAGATAAGAAACCGCGATTTTCGACCGAATAAATAGCTTCGTGCGGGCAAACAATCGATAAG